TACGTTGTGATTTAACTTCAATTTTGTGAAGATGTGATTGTTTTATTTCTGGACTTTTTTTTTTTTTGAAAGTTTAAATAAGTCTCTTTGTAGTCTAATACTTATGAGTAATTACGGCACTACAAACTCATCCTCTAAACAAGTGTAAAAAGATGCAAAAAGAACAATATTCAGGGGCTGGCATTATGACACAGTGGGCTAAGTGTCCTGTGACGCCAGTATTCTGTATGTGTGTTAATTTGTGTCCTTATTGCTCCGCGACTGAACCAGTTCCCTGCTAATAGTTCTAGAAAAACAGTGGAAGATGACCCAAGTGTTTGGGTTTCTGCCATCCACACGGGACACTCAGATGTGACTCCTGGCTCTTGACTATTTTAGCTATTGCAGAAGTGAACCAGTGAATGAAAGATTCTCTCTCTCACACATGCACTGTAACTTTCAAATAAATAGAAGAAAACAACTGTAAATATAATAGCAACCAAAAGAACAATCAAATAAATTCTGCCCCCGGCCCCCAAAATTGCATTTGTGTGGGACCAGCAGAGCATTTGCAAGGTGAGACAGACGGTCGCCAGCAGGTGTCCTCACAGAAGGGTTTTTCTGGGCAAGTTTGTGGCCTAGCAGGTTGCTTGAGAGTTATCGTCGGTCAGCTGTGCAGGCGCCCCGTCCCTTTCCAACCTCCCAGTCTTCTTTCTTTTGCTTTTAGCATTGACGCAGCGACTCCATTTGGGTCCTGATGATTTTCACTGTAGCTAGACTGGGAGACATGAAACACATCCAACGGACTAGAGTTGAGAGGGACACAGAGCGTGGGGAACTGGTCTGCAGGTGCTGGACCATTGGACTCTGGGACTGGAATCAGGGAGGAAAAGCTGGGCATTGCAACCTGGGTGATAGGAACGCCCCCCTAAGAAGTGGGACAGTAGTTTGGGGATAAGAAAAAGAAACGTTGTGTCCATCCTAATGAGGGCTAATTACATTTAAGGAGTCAGGAAGGCTGGGAAAGGGAAGTGTATTGCTATTACCAGTTGAAATAAGTCTGCAAATATAAATATCCAACTCAATGAAGAATGAGCTGGCCAGAAATAAGATGACCATACCTCCTATATCCAGGCCCAGATAACCACCACCCGTTGTCACTCTCACAGTATTTTAGTTTGTACGATCAGATATGAGGGGACCTCAAAAAGTTCGTGGAAAATGGAAATCAAAGAGTGTATTCTGGTGCCAAAAATGTGGAATTCATTCATACAAAAATTTTTCATGAAGCTCCTCGAGAATGTGGATTATGATTAAAATAGGCTCAAATTTCAGTGTTTTCATGCCAAAATAAACTCATCTTTTAATTGCATTTCCTATGAATGATTGCAAAAGCCTGAAACATGGTCACTGCATTTAGTTGGACTTAAAATAACAGAACATTGACAAGAGGGTTGGGAGTGGACCTCGACTTTAGAGGCGATGAATTCAGAACGTGCTCAGGAGTTGTGAGGAATCTAAGAAACAGAAACACGAGCATTGTCCTGATTAGAACTAGGAGCTAGGTGAAAGTCCAAACCATAAACCAGGTGGCCAACAGAGGCACTCGAGAACAAATAAGAGAAAGTCATATTTCCCAGAAAGGGCCACCCAAGTTGATTACCACAGTGAGGGGAAGAAGGTTACTACCCAAAAAGATTCCTTTGCAGCAATCGGAATAGGGTGCTTATGCAAACTGGAAGAACACTGAGACAGTGCATTTAGAACACACATTAAGAGAACCAATCTAATTTTAACAAAAATTGCCAGGTCAAAACAATTGATTGAGTCCATTCATTGTGTCTCAGGAAGTATGGGCCTGAAGTGATAATTCTTTTTTTTTTTTTAAGTCTTATTTTATTTGTATTGCAAAGTCAGAGAGGAGGAGAGACAGAGAGGAAGATCTTCCATCCGATCATTCACTTCCCAAGTGACTGCGTCTGCCGGTGATGCACCGATCTGAAGCCAGGAGGCAGGAGCTTCCTCTGGGTCTCCCACACGGGAGGGTCCCAAGGCTTTGGGCCGTCCTCCACTGCTTTCCCAGGCCACAGGCAGGGAGCTGGATGGGAAGCAGGGCTGCCGGGGTTAGAACAGGTGCCCATATGGGATCCCGGAGCATTCAAAGTGAGGACTTTAGCTGTTAGTGCCTCTCAGGGAAGCAGTGGTAGATGGCACAAGTGGCTGGTCCCCTGTGACCCACGTGGGAGATCCAGATGAAACTCTTGGCTCCATGCTTCCACAGCCTAGTGTAGGCTGTTGCAGCCATCTGGGGGAAGGACAAGCAGATCAGACATTTCTGTCTGCCTGCCTCTCTCTCTCTTTGTGCCTTTCAAATATCTATATCTATATCTATTTAAAATACAATTTACGGGTACAAACAAAGCAATTCACATCTCTGTATCAAGACCTGGCCTCTAAAAAGTTGGATACACAGATGAGATGCTCTAAATTGTCACAAAGCAAAAAAGTATAAAAGCTACTGAAGCAAGCATAGCATTCATTCTGCAACTGAACATACAGACCATTCAAAAAGAAAATTATCACCAACTCCCACTTTCGAATCTCAGTGTAAATATTGTAGTAAAATATTAGTGAACAGATCAAGCAGCGTATTTTTAAACAGCTTAGAACATGGTGTGTCAGTCTATTCCAGGAAAAAAATTAAATTTAAAAATTAGGAATGCATACTATTGAGGTCTCATTACTTTGACTTGAGTATTAGGAAATTTGCTGCCGCGGGCTTTACAGAACCGGTCATGGCCAGGATCGAAGTCTTCCCAGCCTGGACCCTGTGGAATGAGGCAAACTTTCAGGTCCTGGGGCTCAGTGTTGTTTCTCGGGAAAAAAAAAAATATTTGAGAGGCAGAGAGAGAGAGAAAAGGGGAGAGAGAGAGAGGGAAGGAGGAAGCTCCCATCTGCTGGCCATCTTCTCAAAAGGCTGCGATGTGAGGATGTGCAGGGTGGGCTGTAAGGCTGGGAACTTGGGCCAGGTCTCCCCTGTGGGTAGCAGGGACTGGAAGGCACGAGCCATCAAAGCTGTCTGTATCATCAGCAAGCTGAGATGGGTAGCCAGAGTCACGGACTGAACTCGCAGGGCTCTGATGGGGGGGATGAGAGCATCTAAAGTGCCAGGCTTACACGCCCACCCCTGGAGGTGCCATTTCCCCCCTCTGTGTAACAATCACCTTCCAATATACAATCCAAGCCAACTCTGCTAACCCCAGCCCCCAAGCTCTGTTCCAATAAGTCTTGCTCCGTACCTCATTCTCTACTCATTTCATTTTCTCCCCTCCCCTTGCCTCTACCTCCCCTGGCTCTTGCGGCCCTGACAGAGAATTTTCTGGAACTTTAGCTCCTTTACCTGCAAGGTCCCTTCCTCCAACTCTTCCGTGACTTCACTGCCTCCACTTTTGTCATGATTGAAATGTAAACCTTCCCGCTGTTTGTTTTTTTAAAGAGCCAGGCCACGCCTCCTCCACACCCTTGGCTAAAGTCTAGTTCAGGCTTCAGGGAAAGTGGAACGCTTAGCCAGCCCAAAGCTGGGAGCCAGGAGCTTCTTCCAGGTCGTCCATGCAGGTGCAGGGTCCCAAGGAGTGGAGCCATCCTCTGCTGCTTTCCCAGGCACACGAATGAGGAGCTGGATTGGAACTGGAGCAGCCAGGACTCGAAATGGTGCCCCTGTGGGATGCCAGCACCACACGTGGAAGATTAGCCTGCTATGGCACCGAGCCAGCCCTCATATTTATTGCCTTCTTCATGGAGCATGGCAACCACAGTGACACGGAAAGTGCCCTGCCGTGTGGCCTCTCGGTTCATGTCCACTTCTCCATCCAGGGCTGCCATGGGTACTGAAGGAGGCACAGACGGGTGTTCAGTGGTCCAGCCTCCACCCCGCACTGGTCATCTGCCTGGGTGCTGTAACAGGAAATACTGCACGTTGGGGGCTTCAACAGTCACAATTTCTCATGGTTGTGTGGACGGATTCAGAGGTGACAATTGGCTGTGGCCTCCAAAGGCACAAAGGGGGATCTTGGGTTTCCTGCTCCCTTTAAATGTATTTATTAGACGGGGGGTGGGGGGGGGGGAGGGAGAGAGAGAGAGAAGTCCGGAGCCTGGAATTCCATCGGGTTCTCTCACACAGGCAGCAGGGAGCAATCCTCTGCTGCTTTCCCAGAGAGAGAGAGTGGAGCAGCCGGGACTCGAACCTGCACTCCTGGGGGGGTGGGGATCAGTGGCTTCAGGGAATTTCACTGTGCCAAAGCTGCAGCCTTTGGGATCCCTTTGGTAAGAACACCAGTATCACTCAGGAGATTCCCATCCTAGCATGTCATCCGTTTGCAATGGTCCCTGCCCGCAAACACCGCCCTGCTGGGAACTTGATGGGGGAGGGGTGTCCTAACTCCCCAGTGGGTGAAGCCTGCTGTGAGAGAGGAAGTGGTCTGGGCCAGGACATCAAGGTCAAGGTGTTCAGAGGTGCGCCTAGAAATACACAGGTGTGTATAACCTAATGGCACAGGTGACTCCATACAGCCAAGAAGGGGAAGTCTGTAGTGTTTCAACTTGAAGGCATTTTAGCGTTCCTTGCAGAGCCGAGGAAATGCAGATTGCTGGGCTCCTAGCGGCAGTTCTTAATAGAGTGAAACGTAATTGTCTTGGGAGACGAAAAGCCTGCATCTCTGTAGACCCCCCTGCCCCCCCCGGGAGGATGTGCAAACTACTGTCTCCAACACCACATTTTAGGAACCACTGGGAGACGGTGCGGAGAGGGAGCCCCGGTTTCCAACGCTGGGGAGCTCCAACACTGATTATCCCAGGCGCAAGGATGACCCCTTCCTTGAAGGACACAGAAAGGGGGGGGGGGGGTAGGACCTTCAGCCGCGGCAATGGCCCTAGAACTACAACTCCCAAGAAGCCCCGCGTCGGCTCGCGCTCGCCTCCTGGAGGCCGCTGGCGGGAGGCGCCGGAGGGACCGCGCCGGGACCTTTCGGAGCATCTGTGAGAACGCCGAGCCGCGGCGGCTGCGGGCTGCGGGCTGCGGGCTGCGGGCTGCGGGCTGCGGGCTGCGGGAGCGCCACAGGAGCTGAGCGCCAGCCGAGCGAGGCCGGTGAGTAGCAGCCACGCCGGGCCAACCCCAAGTCCGCCTCAGTCGCGGGGTCGCGTTGGGGCGGGGGGAAGGTGCAGGACTGTCCGTCTGGGAAGATGCGCTGGCCGCGGTGACCCCCGGGGCTCCCGGTGAGGAGCCGGCTCGCGGGAGCCCCAGGGTCCGTGCCGCAGCAGGTGGCCGCCCCCGCCTTCTCCCACCTTTTCCTCATCCCTGTGGGGGTTTGACGTAGGCGCCTCGGACCGAGGGCTTGCGGACCACCGCAGCCGGGCCCCCGGACCTCCAGGTCTCGCCGTGGTGGGACAGGTGCGTGAAGCGCGCCCGGTCGGGGGCTCCTGAGGCTCCGGCGAGCCCCTTCCACGGGGGGATAGTGTGCGTTGGCGTCCGAGGGACCCGAGAAGCCTGCGCGTGGTCCTCGGAGCTCTGAACCGCCCCTCTGGCCGGGGCGTGCGGGGAGACCGCGGAGGGGCGCGCGGCTGCGCGTCTGCGGGGCGCGCGCGCGGGGCGCAGCACCTGGAGCACCCAAGGGGGACCGGGGAGGCTGCAGGTGGGAGTTCCAGGGACCCTGCCGGGAGCGCCACTGCTGACGTCAGAGACGAGTCTGGGTGCTCTTCGGCGTGTTTGAAAGCAAGTTGGAAAGGTCTTGTCCGTGCCAGCTGCATTTGCCAGCACGCAAGTTTATATAATAAGCGGCGACGAACACACACACACACACACACACACACACACACACACACACACACACACACACACACACACACACACACACACACGGGAAAGGTGCTCGTCTTTGCCCTCTACCGGAAGAATTCTGTTGGGCTGGGTGGTTGACATGCGTATCCATTCGTCACTGCGGTAGCTGGTGGCAAGAGATAAAATGTTTTGGAACAGCCGTCCCCGCTCGACCCCCCTTCGGGACAGGCTTTTGGCTTCAGAAGATTGGGTTATCCGGTTTCCAGCCCCGCGTGCTATTTCAGCGCTAAGGATGGGGATGATGGGGGGGAGGTTGCGGGGGTGGGTGGGGACTCCAGCTTGTCAATCCCTTCAACTTTACCCTGACAGCTTGGCTGGAACATCGGTCCCCAAAACAAACCGGGTTCCTTCTGTTGCCCGAGCCAGATCTGAGGCTGAGCCTCTTCCACTCAGCGATCTGTTTGACAACTGGTTTTAAGTTGATTTGCTTGGCTCTTCCGTGTGGATGACCTTATAGTTCAGTAAGGAACGACGGGTTCTGTTTCTCACGTTTGCATTTAGTTCCTATCTTTTCTTGGCCACCCATGCTGCTGTGAGGTTGGGTCAGCTTAAACGGGACGCCTTGGTCTGGGTCATTGGTTTCAGGCGGGCATTCCCACTGGATCCTCACTGAGCACCTTCATCAAATGAAGGACGTTTCTGTCTATGCCTGATTAGTGAGAGCTCAAAAAGTCGGCGTGCGTATTGTTTCCCCTCCCCAATGTTCTTGTATAACGTGTGTTGATGAAATGTGTTTCCTTCTTAAATATTTCTTAACAAGATTTACTTGTTTATTTGAAAGGCAGAGAGAGAGAGAGATGTTTTGTGTTCTCCAGGTTTGGCAGAACTTGTGCTGCGAGTGATGTGTTTTTAACTACTCATTTTTTTCCCATGCTCACTTGATCATTTTTTTTTCCAGATTTTCTATTTCTTCAAAGTCCATTTAAATACTTTCTCTTTTTCTAGCAAAGAATTAGCGTTATTGGAACGTAATAGATGTTGGTATAATGAATGGGATATTCTACTGGATGCAAATTGCCTGTGATATGGTTTCATTATTAAGACTCATATTTCCGGGCCCGGCGCGGTGGCGCAAGTGGTTAAAGGTCCTCGCCTCGCACGCCCGGGATCCCATATGGGTGCCGGTTCTAATCCCGGCAGCCCCGCTTCCCTTCCAGCTCCCTGCCTGTGGCCCGGGAAAGCAGTCGAGGACGGCCCAAGGCTTTGGGACCCTGCACCCGCACGGGAGACCCAGAAGAGGCTCCTGGCTTCGGATCGGCATAGTATCGGCCCGTTGCGCTCACTTGGGGAGTGAATCATCGGATGGAAGATCTTCCTCTCTGTCTCTCCTCTCTGTATATCCGCCTTTCCAATGAAAAAAATAATAAAAATAAATCTTTAAAAAAAAAAAAAAGACTCATATTTCCTTTCTGGGCCCTTTTTCCTTTCTGTTGTCCAGACTTGGCAAATGGTTGCCCATTTGGTTAATTCCTTTTAAAGAAGCAACATTTGGATTTTTGATTATCCCTGTTGATTTTTACTTTCCTGTGTCTAGTTTCTGCCCTTGTTATTTTGCTTGAGTTGGATTTGGTTCCAGATTCTTGCTTTTTGAACAGAAAGCTTGGGTCATTTATTTCATCCGTTTTTCTGAACAAGGCAAAGACGTTCCTTTTATTCTAGTCACCTCCCGTTTGGCCTTAGCTGTCTGTGTATTTTTTTAATTTAAATCTTGATTTGAACAGGGGCAAGCGAGACTCCCATCTGCTTTTTTCACTCCCCAAATGACTGCAGCAGATGGGCCTGGCCAGGCTGAAGCCGGGGAGCCAGGATCTCAATGCAGGGCTCCCGCGAGGGTGCCAGGACCCCAGCGCGTGGTTGCCTCCCCCTGCTTGTCAATGGAAGCGGAGCTGGGCCAGGTGCTTGGGCGAGGGGCACCCCAAGGGGCATCTTCATGACTGTCCCACTGTGCACTTCCTGCGCTGTCTTTCGCTTGAACCTTGACACGTGAACTTCAGTGCTGTTGCTCCCATTGTTATTTCCTCGGTCGGTATTTGTTGATCGGTTTACCGCTTTATTCCTTCTCCATTCCTGCTTCTAATTCCTTCTTTGAACCACTCCCCTCCCCCGTGAAGGATCTTGCTTAGAAGTTCCTTCGTGGTGATCACGTTTCTGTTTTCACGGTCTCCGAAAATGCCTTTGCTTTGCCAACGTTCTTGAATCAAAGTGATCTTCATTTTTTTTTTTTTCTTCTAGCAGTTACTAATAGATCTGGAAAATTTGAGGGGCTCTATTTTTCCGTATTGCTGAAGGAACCATAAACATGAAAAAGGCCGGAAGTTAATGGAAAGTCTAATGAGATTCTGATATAATCTACAGCGTGGATGAGCACTAAGCCTTTAGGATTGCTCTCTGTACCTGTGGTATATTGGATATAAAATTCTCAGTTTTATTTCCCGATTCGTGGTCTCTGTATCTTCAACTTATGTTTTCTCCTGGGCCTGCTGATTGGGGTAGTTGTGTTGGTCTTCTATTGTGACTTCTGATTTTGTTTTTGTTCTGTTTCTGTCAACGATACATATATACTCAAATTCATGTGCGTGTATATGTACAGGGCTATTTTTAAGCATTGTATTTTTGTTGTTAGGCTTGTAGCATCATTGAAGCCTCACAAATTTTACAGTTTGAAACGTTTAGAAATAAAAAGGGCTATCTTACTTATTTTCCCTTTTAATTCTGTTTTATTTTCCTGATATTAATATTAGCATACCTACTTTTTATTAACGCTCTTCTGGTATATCTTTTCCGTTGATTGATTTTCAAGTTTGTTTTATTTGTATATTTTGTTTTGTCTCTCTCTCTCTCATGCTCACACATAGGGAATTTCTGTTTGCTTGTTTACTCTGCAAATGCCCACGATGGCCAGGGCTGTGCCCGGTGGAAGTCGGGAGCCAGGAACTCCTGTCAAGTCTCTCGTGTAGGTGAAAGGAGCGCAGGTGTCTGTCTGGCATCCCCTGCCTCCCAGGCACATCCGTAGGAAGCTGGATCAGAAATGAGCGGGTAATAGAATGCTGGCTTTATATCATTCTCTAAACCTACGTTGCCAGGTTACACTTAAATAGCAGAATGATGAGCTGGTGACTGTTACTGAGGGATTAAACTGCTGTTACAATAGAGGGGAAAATAGCGTGGGGAAGAGGGTGTCAGTAGGGGAGAGCGAATCCCTGAGCCCAAGGAATTGTCTCATGAAAAATAAAGAATTTATTTAAAAAAAGAAGTGCAGTAGCTGGGTCTTAAACCAGGCACTGTGTACAACACACCTGCCCATTTCTGTATTCTGAAGTGAAGTTGTGGTTTATTCATTCTTTTTATTTTTAAAGATTTATTTACTTTTATTGCAAAGTCAGATATACACAGAGGAGGAGAGACAGAGAGAAAGATCTTCCATTAGAACCGGCACCCATGTGGGATCCTGGTGTGTTCAAGGCGAGGACTTTAGCCGCTAGGCTACGGCGCCGGGCCCTGGTTTGTTTGTTCTTAATGCTGAATATATTTCACTGTGAATATCCCGTAGTGTAGACCTCCGTGTTTCCTCACTTGACATTTAGGTTGTTTGCAGTTTGGGACTGTGACCATAGTATTGCTGTGTGCATTTAGAGTGTTCCTTGTGTTGAGTGAATGCCTTTCTGTTGAGAATACACATAAAAGTAGAATTACTTGGTCACACAATATGTGCATATGCTGCTTCAGCAGATACTTGCAAACAGTTTTCCATAGAGATCGGGTCAATTTATTTATCCCCAAAATGTATGTGATTGCCCCAGATGCTCACCATTGCTTGGCAATTTCAATCTTTTCTACTTTGGTCATTCTGGTGACTATCATATTGTGATTTTCATTCAGATGCCCCAAAGATAAATGAAACGGAAAACAAGTGCTTCCCCTAATTTTTTTCACCGCCCCTCACCCCCTTAAGATTTATTTTATTTTAGTTGAAAAGCAGAGTTACAGAAAAGGAAAGAGATCTTCCACTCACTGATTGATGCACTGCCAGATGGATACAGTGGATGGGGATGGGCCAGGCTCAGGGCGACTCCTTTGGATTCTCCCATGGGAGTAGCGTGAGCTGAGGCTTCTCTGGCTTTCTCAGGCGTATTAGCTGGGTTGGAGATGGAGCAGCCAGGTCTCAAACTGATGTTGTGCCTAGATTTTGAGATCCCCGGAAATCGCCAGGAGTCTGAAGTGGATCCAAGTGTACAAGGATGGCTTACTGA